ACTACGCTTTGAATTCGCAACTATAAAAAAAGCAAGTAAGGAAAGTGTGACGGAATTTTCACGACGGATTGCAAGAGCTACTGAAGGATGCAAATTCACAATGGCGTTACAATCAAACGGTTACTACTAGAATCTGAAATACTAACGTTTGCAAAGGCTGTGGAAATTGCTGTTACCCTTGAACGAGTAACCCAGGAAACTCGACAATTAGATGTTTCCGATAATGCAATGTTTGACATCAAGTGTGTCCGCGGACATCTAGTGTGTCCGACACAATTAAAGTTACATGTTTAAATTGTGGGAAACTTTGACATTTTGCACGGGACTGCGAAGCAAAATGCAAGACTTGTTCACACGATCATCAAACTAAAAACTGCTTCAAACGATTGCAAAGTTTAAAAGGAAAAGAGAGAATCTGGAAATAATGGCATTCAGTATTCTCCAAGAAATGACGTTGCCATCATTAAAAGTGAAAATAAATAGAATGCTCCAAACAGCATTAATTGATTCTGGATGCTCCATCACTGTGATTCATGCTAAATCCACGCATGGTCTTGTTTTAAAAATTCAAAAACTTATTACAACTTTAGGAGGAGCTGTGCAAGTGCTGGGTGAAACAGTAATCAAATTGGAAATTGATAGAATACACCGGATGGTTAATTCTCTGGTTGTAAAAGAAAAACCATTAAAGTTTGATTTGATTTTTGGAATGAATGCAATTGAAAAATTTGGAGGAGTCATCATTTATGGTAATAAAAACCGTACTGTCCAAATGTTAGCATGTGACACAGTGAAACGTGGTGCTGTTACTACAACGATAAAAAACGAAAACGAAATAAACGAAATAAAATGTGATGTCAAAAATACAAATGAAGAAAACAAAAAAAAACGAAATAAAACATCAGGACTTTGCAGCAAAGTTTGACTGGAAAAGTGGACGGTATCATGGAACTGGAATAAAGAGCCTGTAATTGATAATACCATTTGTGAATACAAGATAAACCACGAGCATGAACGTAGTTACCGCAAAGAAATAAATGAATGGATCAACTCTGGCATTCTTGTACCATATAACAAACTAACATTGGAACCACCTAAAATATTGATACCGCTAATTTGCGAAGTGCAAGAAAATAAGGACAAAAAGGTACGTCCAGTTGGAGATTTTTGAGCTTTCAACGAATTTGTAAATTGTCACACAGCGAAAACGGGCGTTTGTCAAGAAAAACTGCGTTGCTATAAAAAATTACAAATGCAAAAGTTCTTGATCTTAAAAAAGTCTACCTCCAAATTCATATTGATAAAAGACTTTGGCCATATCAAACGGTGATTATAAATGGGAAACGATATTGTTTTACCAGAATTGTTTTAGCATTAATGTGGCTCTAACAATAATGACCACAATTCTTCGGCATGTACTCAATTTAAATCCAACTGTAAAGAAAACATGTGACACCTACATTGATGATATATTTGTGGATGAAAGTGTGGAAACTGCGGAAAATGAAGCAAGGCATCTCCATAAATTCAGGTTACAATGTAAACCTCCACAAAATCTTGAACAAGGAAGTGTCTTCAAATTGAAAGTCGAAAGAAATAAAAATGAGGAACTGATATGGAAACGAGACAATGTGGTACAATTTCAATCTTTAAATGCAGTTACCTTGGTGTGAGTTTATTTCTGAAGTATGTAAAGAAAAACTGAAAGATTTGCTTCACCGTGTGGAAAAAAAGGATCCGGTTGGTGGAAAATGGTTGGTACAAGTGAATAAAAAAGCTGAGCTTTATTGTGATGCATTATCCATAGGACTTGGGGTAGTTCTGCTCATTGGTTGAGTAGTTTATGAAGACACAGCATGGCTGCGACTAGCAAGTAACACACACCATACCAATATAAGTGAACTGAATTCGATACTCCGAGGACTAAACTTAGCTAGTAAGTGGGACATAAAAGAGTTAACAGTATACAGTGATAGGAAGAGCACCGTAGGATGGTTAAACGCAGTTTTGAAGCAAGAATATCGCGTAAAAACTCGGTGAATTTCTCAGTTGTTAGTACAAAGACGGTTAAATACTATTAAGGAAGTGTCAAAAAATATCCAGATTGTAGTACAATAGATTCCATCCGAAATAAATTTGACTGATCAACTCTCATAAATCCCTCAAAAATGGTGCAGAACAGTGTGTGCAGCTGGATTACCTGAACAAAAAGACTTATGGGAAATTCATTCGATTGGTCACTTTGGTGTCGCTCGAACATTACAACTTTGCTTGCGAAATAACCAGTATCCCAGCAAATAATAGACGTCTTTTAGACCGTCTAAAATTGGTCTAATTTTTATCTATTGCCGATACGTATATTTTAGACGTATATTAGAGATCAAAAAGACGTCTGATTCTAGAGATACTATTTTTGCTCTGTTTTAGATGCATATTAGATGCATAAAATAGATCGTGCATAGATAATTTTTTTTCATCTAAACTTAGATGTCTATAAGATGTCTTATAAAGATTTGTTATAAAAACAAGAAAAAAATATCAACTAATTTTACAGAACGACAATTATAAATGACCGCCATTTAAAAACCATGCTTAAACTTATTATGAAAAAAGCATGAAGATTTTAACCTATGGAAAACAATAATGATTATTTCTTTTGATAAATTTTAAATAATAAAATAACATGCTAGTAGAGTTCACAAAATATTTCGATGATTTGATGCTTAGCATGTTTGCTAAAATCCTTGTGATTTGAAATTTATTTTGTAGAAATATGACAAAATTAATATTTTCAAGTTGATATTTTTATTTCTAGAATAAAAGATAATGTAATTAAAATATATATGTATATATATATATATATATATAGGGGAGAGTGGGGTAATGACGAACAGCTAAGCGGGAATGCGAATTAAAGACAATTATTACTATATACTAATGATATTTTTTGCTTATTATTTAGTCTAACCATTTGGTTAGAATCACTCAAAAGCAATTTTCATATATCTTATTAAAAAATAAAAAATTCGATTAAAAACAAAACCTTCGGTGTTCGGAATTACCCTACGTACATGGGGTAATTCCGAACATACCGTGTATATATATATACTTATATATATATATATATATATATATATATATATATATATATATATATATATATATATATATATATATATATATATATATATATATATATATATATATATATATATATATATATATATATATATATATATATATATATATATATATATATATGTATGTATACATATATGTATATATTTATATTTATACATATATATATATATTTATACATATATATATATATATATATATATATATATATATATATATATATATATATATATATATATGTATATATATATATATATATATATATATATATATATATATATATGTATATATATATATATATATATATATATATTTATATATATATATATATATATATATATATATATGTATATATATATATATATATATATATATACATATATATATATATATATATATATATATATATATATATATATATATATATATATATATATATATATATATATATATATATATATATAAATTTTACAATAATAAACTAAATAAATAATGTATAATAACTTTATTTAAGAATCATCCGTGTGTTATCATATACGCTAGAATACTTTGAAGACAATAAATGTTCGCGATTACCCCACTAAGATCGTTCGTTATTTCCCCGCGTTACAACCAAATGAAATTAAACGAATATATTGAGGTAGTATTATCATACCCTAAATATAATACGTGTTACAAACTCCATGATTATGATACTTTGCAACAACATAAATAAAAGTGTGGTTTTATATACATAGTATAGCCAATACATAAATGTTTCGCAAATAAAAATTACATAAAACTAAGAGAAAAACTTAAAAGCAATCTACCGCGAAGAACCTGCGCATTTATAATACACTATTGCACGTCTGGAACTGAGCATGGAACCCACTCTTGTCAGAAAAAAAGAGATTGTCAGCTATCCTTTTCTAACATGCCTTAACAACCTTGTTCGGAGTTACCCCGCGTTCGCCATTACCCGACTCTCCCCTATATATATATATATATATATATATATATATATATATATATATATATATATATATATATATATATATATATATATATATATATATATATATATATATATATACATATATATATATATATATATATATATATAAATATATAAATATATATATATATATATATATATATATATATATATATATATATATATATATATATATATATATATATATATATATATATATATATATATATATATATATATATGACTCATATATGAATCTTGGTTTCTCGATAAAAACGATAAGTGCACAACCAATAAAACAATCTTTTGTGTTATTGAAAAACACTCATAATATGAGTGTTTTTCAATAACACAAAAGATTGTTATATTGGTTGTGCACTTATCGTTTTTATCAAGAAACCAAGATTCATTTATGTCTTTTACAGAAAGGGTATACGAAAAAAGACGCAGTAGACGTGTCCAAACAGAATATTAAAAAATACTAGAACTTTCATCAGTACATATAGAAAAAAAATCGAATGTTGGAACTTCTAAAAGAAACGATTTCTTATCTTGCGAAAATCTAAAAGAATATTTTGACCATCATGAGTCATCGATTTTGTACAATGAATACTCTTATGACCAAAAGCCTAATGAGTATAAGCATAACCCAACTTCAAAGGAAAGTTTTTCTGCATGTTTTTCTAACCAAGTAATTATGCACTAAACAAGTGGATTGACAAAGAATACCGACAAATTTATTGTCCCAAAAAAAAACTATAATCATGCACTGAAAAACAACCTTTTGTCAACAAAAGAATGGCACAAATTTCCATTGATAAAGTGTAAGATAACAGATAGTCAGTATCTAACTTGTTTTGTATTTTTTTTAAAGGTAACTTATTTACTTTTTTGTAGCAAAATTTTTATAATTAGATTCATTTTCATGTTGTGAAGAATACAACTTTCTACATCAGATGAGATATATGTTAAAGAAAGCATTAAAAATAAGAATAACAAATCATACCGCTCTTCATTGCCAGAACCTCCGCCACCTATTATGAATAAGCCCAATGCTAAAAGTCTAACATAAGCAGGCGCGGATCCAGGAATTTGTAACTGTGTGGCCAAGTCCGGGTTTGCGGACGACGTGAACACCTAATTATTTTTATTTTTTTATTGAGTAATTGGGGGGGGGGAAGTGCCAAATACGATAAACAACAAAAAAAAAAAAGGTTAAAATTTAAATTTTTTACATTTGCCGACTTTAAAATGTCAAAATTTGTCAACTATATTTAAAATTACCAAATACAATTCGATATTGGCCAGTGGAGGAAGGGGGATGACATCACCCTATTCCCTCCTCCCCTTTTAAGATAAATTACTTTACTTTTATTTTTTTCTGTGGGAAGGACCTATGAAATAATCCTACGGACTCATTATGTATTATTTTTTTAAACTATTATTCGTAGGGAGACTAACTTACTTTACTTAACTACTTTAGATTTAATAATCTGAGAGCGCCATTATTACAATAAGTATAATAGTTTTCACGCTTGAGGCTAAAAACTTTGTTGTTTTGTTGTAGACGAAATGAGCGACGAATTCGTCTCCGACGAATTTTTATATAAGGAATCAATCAAAAAAATTAATAAGAGATCATTCATATTATATACATAGACTTACAAAAATTATATCATATTTTAATCTTATTCAGTAGAAATAGCTCTCTGTTTGAATAAAAAAAACACTTAATTTTGATATTTCTCGTTAGAAATAAACTCTCTAAACAATTGTGTAATTCAAAAACGCATACATTTTTAAAATTATTATTACATTAAATATTAAAAAGCATTATAGGTAAAAAAATGTTATATATGAAGAGTCGACTTGTAAACCAGATATTTCACTTTTTACTTGTAATTGATATCTATTTACTTCGTGTTTGTTTGACAATATTCTGCTAATGCAAAGTTATTCTAAACAATCGAGTCAGTCGTGGTAAAGCTTATATAGTATTGTTTTTAGTTATCCATTTAATAATAAAGTTATTCAAAATATTGCCTTGGCTATTTAGTTCATAAATTAGACATAGTACTTGTCTAAATCACTTAACGAAGTGCACCAACGAGAAGGTAAGCCATAGGACTTTGCACTCCATCAGTAAACTGCCGTGTTGCCTAAGGTTAGCCCACTATTTCTGGATTTTTTTTTTTTTTGATAGGCAGTTATGTACAAATATTTTTAAAACATTTAAAAAACTTTTTTACATTTTTTTTTAAATAAATTTTAATAAATAAATAAACAAGTCAAAATATAATACAACAAATAAAGCAACAATCAAAAAAGTAACAACCTAAATCACATGAAAACACTTTCAACATTAGTAATTAAAAGAAATTCAGAAAAATTCAGAAACTCAGAAATTCAAAATTTTTATTTGAATAAAAACTTTAATTTTTTATCTCCTTTGGATGCAAATATTTCAATAACATTAAATAGACATTAAAGTCCATTCAATCTAATTTCTGACATAGTACTCTCGTGTAAGTTTTGATTCTCCTGAGAGTAGATATTGACCTTTCACACTAACAAGTTGTGATTGGTATTGTAGCAAGTATATGAAACGCCTCTAAAATGTTTAGAAAGCCTCTCATATCCCTAAACTTAAATGTGTCTGAAATAGTAGATGGTAATTCTGTCTTTTCATTCCAAAATTTCCACCCATAACTCTAATTCAGCATTAATTGATGAGAAATGAGGAAGATCAGATTTACAAAAATTCAAAAATATCAGGAACATTTCTTTACATGGTCAATATCTAAAAATTTACTTTATTAAACTAGCAGGAATAGCACAAAGACCATTATAAACAATTAAGCTCTCAATATCAAACCTATTTTCTAGTTCATTAGGAAGATGATTAAGAAGAGGCAATGTAATAGAAACTTTAAACTATCAGATACAGTATCACATATTTAATTATCTATATGCTTTTGAACACCACATGTTCTAGGTTTTTTTCCATCAATATCAAATGTTTTAGCCAATGCAAGAGCAATTTTATACCAATTGTTATGGTAAGCATCAGCATTTCTTCGTATTTCTTTTAAATGATTAGTCAAATTTTGAATTTCATCCAGTTGCGAGGAAATATCATAAGATTTATTTTCAGGGGTGACAGAAATTCCATAAAAGTAATCCATTAAATGTTTAAGTTAAAACTAAAGAAACTATAAAAAAAAAAAAATTGTCAATAACTTCATAAAAGAAGATGCTTTTAAAGATGTTTCTTTATTGTACTCTTTTAAATTATTGTCTTTTATTTCTTCAAAAGCAGAAAAAACTGTAGAATAATTATCAAAAAACCAAGTCCACGAAGCTTTTGTACCCAGTTTGACATGTGTCAATAAGTTTTGCTTGACCAGGAAGAAAGTTTTTATTTAAGCAATTACATCTTTTAGGAGAAAAGTTCAAAAAATAAGACTTTAACTTGCTTTAAAGCAAACTTTTCACTTGATTTAGCAACTTTTCCCAACAACTAAACTAAGTTTATGTGAGACACACAAATAATGCATTAGAATTAACATTTTTTATAAGCCATAAAACACCTTTGTATTAAACTGACATTGAAGCAGCTTCATCATAATACTGGCCTCTGCATTTTCTTATATCTAAATCAAATTATTTTAAAATTTCAAGAATGTTGGTAGCTATGTTTAAACCACTTGTTCCTGTTTTGCATTCAAAAAATGTAAAAAAAACTTCCTTAATATAACTGTTCAAGTCTACATAACGTATGACAATAGAAAGTTGTTCTATTGTTGCACAGTCTGAAGCCTAGTGTGCAATAATGGAGAAGTACTTACTTTATTTAATATCATTTAATAGAATTTCTTCATTTGCATTTCCACAACATTTATTTAACTCGTTTTGAATGGTCTTTGAAATGTATGTAGAATTTTTGGGAGCATAGAGAAGATTTCTTTAAAATTATTAAAATATTAGTCTTAGCAATTAATTCAAGCTTTTTTTTTGTTTTCTTTTATATGCTACTTCCTAGAAATATCTTGAAAAACTTCAATAGGAAAAGTGTTAATTTTAGTTCTAGATAAAAGCATATTATAACAATGTATGGATTGATATGTAATCTGTCAACAGTTTTCTCACGATTGTTTAAATCTTTTATAGCATTACGTCAGGTATTGAATGGTTTTTTAAACAATTTACATAATGCATATTTGCTTGGTATGTTTGTACCAAAAAGTGTACATGGAAGACAATATGCACCATCTTCAATTATAGAGCAAAATTTTAAAGTAAGCAAAGAAAAGTTAACTAATCATTTTAGCAAAAAAATGATTTTTTCTGCTTTTACCTGTTAAAGGGAATTGGAAGCATTTATCTGGAACTTAGATTATTTATTAGAGATAATATTTCATTATCATTTGTTCTTAATTTTAACTTTTCACCACACATATGATATGATGATTTTTTTACCACACAGATGATATGATGAATCATCATAGTTTAAATAAGATGCTAACTGATGTGTATTTAATAAACAATGTCAAAAACATTGTTTTCCTTTAGTAGAACATTAGATTCAAGAGTGTTTTTATCACTGTTGTTGGCATCTTTTGAGATTTTGAGAATATTTTAGTTTTAACTGTTTTATAACAAATATCAGACTTATCTTAAGTGTTCTTAGAAACAGTAGGAAAGAATAATTTAGACTGAATTGGTTTTTGTATTTTGTTATCTGTAGGTGGAAAACTAGACTTAAAAATTTATATTTTTTGATACTGAGTAAATTTAATCACTTATAACAACAGCTGGTCATTTTTTGAGAAGATATTTAACCAGTGCCACAAAATAATTTGGCTTAAAGCATAAAACACTTTTATTTTTTGTTTTATCTAAATTGCACAACAAAATATTAATTGGATAATTTAATTTTTGGATACAAGGCTTTATAAGAGTATTAAAAAAACAATTTTCGATTATTTTTTGAAACCAATATCAGCATAGATAGATTGAATAGGTTGTTTTATAACATTATATAATGCTTTTAGGCAAATGAAAGATGACATTCATAAATCATATTATCGTTAATTGTTGAAAATCTGTCAGTGTATTTAAACAAAACAGCAATAAAAAGCAAATTTAGAAAGCTGAGAATTATAAATCTATGTTGAAAAAAATAATCATACTATGGGTAAAAATTTATGATTTCAAATAATTCAATTGATGTCAGTAATCTTAGAATTTTTGAAGTATGCTTACTGTCAATTAAAATCAAAGATACTGAGCTATAAAGACAATTTACATTTTTAGTAGACCTGAGAGAAATAGTAAAATATATTCAAAATGAATTATAAGCATAATATACTAAAGTGTAGTATTAATAACAAAACAAAAATAGATTAACTATTATAAATTTTTTTTTATTTTACTAATATAACATATACCATAATTTCTCATTAAAAAACTAAATCACTTTTATAGTTTATTTGTGTGTTTAATAATTCAATTTCATACACATTATCAAGAATATAAATCTGTAGTAAAATGTGTTAATAATTAATTAAACACCAATAAATAAAGTTAAAATCCAACATAGATGTTGGTCCATTTTGTAATTTTATTTTTATTATTTTAATTATTATTTATTATAAAGCTTAAAACAAATATAAAATACCTTAATACTGTATAACCAAGAGTTCTTTTAGTTAAGGGAACAAAATCCATCATATCTGTGTTAAATTGGTAAGAATCCTGTATTCTTGGAAACATTAAATTTAATTCCGAAAGCTCTTTAATGAGTCTAGTTTTGTAATTTAAGACATTAGACTTATCATAGGCAAAAAGCATGTTTTGTTTCTATTGCACAAGCAACTAATTCTACATTTAAATAAGGATTCGTGTTTTATAATACTTAAATAATCAAGTAATTAAATAATCAAGTAAAGTCACGTTATCTTAAGCGTAAGCGAAAGATACTATGACTCAAAATGAGGTTTTGATTTTTTTTAAAGACCAGATATATTACTGATTTGAGGAGAAATGTAGGAGAGTGCTG